TGGAATATAGATTCAGTGGTTAAGAAAACTCACTGCACTCAAAATCTGGGGGTTTTTTTGATTACAGAGACAGAAATTTAGCAGTTTTTAAAATTTCTAGGCAGAATGTCCTGCATTGTGGTAAGTAATAGAAAGTTTCATCTCTCTTCCTTGCACAGAAAGCAGGAGGTGAGGAGGTCTGACTATGGTATTAGAAAGACTTGGCATTTTGACCTGAATTTTAACTGTGATATTATTACATTTATTTATAAATGTTCCACTCTTTACCACTCTCAGTCTCTTAAGTGTGGTGTTCACAATGAACACATCAGGTCAGAACACTTTTGTAATAGAAACCGTTAAATACTTCCCAGTCCCATCTAAAATTTTTCAAAGAACTGAGAACTTGATCTCCTGATTTAATACAAGGAATCTTTCCGTGACATTTCCTTGGAATAGTAATAGGGGAATTTCAGATTCCTATTTGTTTTCTTTTATATAGTATTGGATAAACAGGGCAGTTAGTAGAAGTCACATTGAGGGGGGACAATGTAAATTCTGTGTTACTGAGATCCATTTAAGCAGTATCTCTTCTGGAAATTTTCCTATATTGAAAGAATGAATTGCACATATTTCTGATTTGGAAATGCTAGGAGTTTGGGCAGATACAGCAAGCATCATATGATCTACTGGACTTTTACCTTTGGTTTTGTGGACTAATTGTTAATCCTGGGATCAGTCGGAGGGGGAAAAGCAAACAAAGCTGTAAACATTTCACATACTTTTTGTGTACTCAGTCTTCATAACGAAGAAGACTGCATGCAGAGGTTTTTCCTGGAGTTGCTCCTGCTATTCTGCTCGTATCTTAAACGGCTCTGGGTAGTGTGCCCTTATTTAGGTACTGTGCTGTGCACTCCTTCCTTTTGGCTGCTCTATATATGTATGTGCTTATCCACCTCCAGATAATTTTAAACCCTGATCTTAAACCTTACTATCCTTCAATTCGTGTTTTAAAAGGAGAATAATAATAAAAAAAAAAAAAAAAAAAA